TCTTTGTTATAAGGAGGTCACAATTACTTCTAGCCATTAGATGTCAAATTGGATGGCTTTGGGTCACGAAGATAGAAAAAATTCTTTTTGAACTTTTGAGTCTAGTCAATGACACTCTTACAACCACCCGATTTGAAATTTGACAGACAAGAATAATTGTGACCTCCTTGTACCAAAAGTAAATGGTCTTTGTGTGTGTATGTTGTATGTATACATATATGGAAAATGATTTCATGAGCCAGACAACCAATTGAATAGTATAAAATTCAATTTGAGCATATCTAACAGCCATCACTTGTGAGCACCTTTTCATTATAATCTTTTTTATAAAATCTTTTGAGCAAGAATTTTGTGGAGAGGTGCACTAAACTTAAGCACACAAGAAAAATATTTTAAAAATATACACAAAATAAACAATGAGGAAAATGCCACCACAACTACCAATACACATTAGCCACCAAGTTGTTAAATCTGGGCTGCGCGGCCTATACTATAGCATAGGCCGGCCGGCTAATGGATTGCCAAAGTTCAGAACGGTTGTTATAGAAGTCCTTTTGATCCCAAAACATGGGGAAGTGCTCTACTCATCTTAGCACCTAAGCCCACACAAAATAAAGGTTGAATTCATATCTTAGAAAACCCTAAAGAATATTCTGCCCTAACAGAAAAACAGACCGTCAATTTCTTGAATAATAAAATCTATATTGTAAGGTACTGAAAATCAGTCTCTTTAAAAAACAAAAACAAAAAAAACTACATATGATGATTCAATATACAAAATTTGTGTCAATCAAATCCCCACACTCAATCTAACACAATTGTTTCTTTCCTAAAATCAAGGAGAGGAATGTCTCTAAGGGCTTTAGGGACATTTCTTCAAGCCCAAATTTTGCATACACTCTCTTGGATCCAATGAACGAGATCACATAGATAATGGGTTTTATTGAGGAGAGAAATAGTTACGATGGGCAATCCCTTTCAGGTATTCGAAAATGATGTTAGAAGGAGGCCTTAAGGGATTTTTTGACCCTAGATTTTATAAATTCACTCATTCTCTCTAGACGAACAACTATTCAAAAATAATAGCAAGAGAAACTAAATTTAAGTTCTCTATGACATAGATCTAACCTTCTAAGAATAGATGGTTTGTGTCGAGGGCATGTTTTTCTTTAGGCACTTCTAAGATGCCAATTAAAATAAATAAACAAATGGTTTGAGTACAAGAATGTGGGAGCCATCCCTCAAATTTATGGTCTAAACGGTCCCCCTACCTATGGTTTTGAGTTAGGATACTTTAGAGGTCCACCCTCAAGCTAAGTAAATGCTATTAATATATACATATATTGAAAAGCTACCGTTAGGTTACCACCTAAAATAAATAGTGATTTTGGTTACACTCCCTACTGGACAATCTTGACTGAACAAAATCATGTTTGAATTTCAATTTTTTTACCAAAAATCAAATTAATCTGAAAATTGGAGTGTGCGCCCTTATTTGGACGCACCTAAAAAATACACACAACATTTCTAAAAGTTAAAAGGGCCGAAATATATTTGCAACATTGCATGGGTATTTTGGTTATTTTATTTTTGAATTATTTTTTATATTTTTCTGGTGCTTGATGGTGATACGTGGACACACCCAAACCTTAAGCTCAATATGATCTATAAAAATAGAATAAAATTCGAAGTGTAAAATAGGAACTACATTTTTTATTTTATTTTTGAGAAATGTTTAGGAATTGGATTTTTAGGTGACAACTTGACACTAGCTTTTTCTAATATAGGAACTTGATTTTGTGAGGCCCCCACCTATGCTACAGTATAAGCTAGACAGCTCAGATTTAACAATCTGGATGGCTATTTATCAAGAGATGCAGGGCATTTTCATTATTTTTCAACTTTATGTATAATTTTTTATCTTATTTTTTTGGTGCATCTAGGAGCACCTCTCCACAAAATTTCCAGCTGAAAAGGATTAATAGAGAAAAATATGATAAAAAGGTACACCCATATATACTGCTCATTGGATATGTGGCCTATACCATTCCATAGGCCAGCTAGCTCACAAAATCATTTTCCCTATATAGACACACGCACACTAAAATTCTCGGGTAATAATATCACAAAAACAATATTAGTCACGAATGTGAAAGCAAGTATGCAATTTGCTCGAACAGGAGCACCTTACAAGCACCTATTGGGTTTGGTCTCATCATTTTGTTTAGCATTTGTATTAATTTATCCTTAATTAGATTGCTCAGATTCATAGAAGTAGAGCAACTACTCTTGATGCAACATAAAACTGGGCCTCATAAACTCCAACACACCTGAAAGCAAGCATAGGCAAGAGCTGTTGCAAAATAGAAGTTCGCATTGCCAGTGCCCTGCCAAAGAAAACCCTACTATTAGCAAGATCATTGATTTCAGGGAAAATTATCAAAATAACCATGAGAGATGCACTATCTAACCTTTTGCACATTTTCAACTATTTCAACTCATGAACATGTGGATTTTCATGGATATTTTATGTTGGGGTTGTGGCCACTAAAGGCCCAAAGAGCTTGTAAATAAAATTATTTATAGTGATTTGTGCACTTTTGTGGAAGTGCATTGTGGTTGACTAACCTAGGGTTGGGCAGTTTATGGCCCAGGTCATGTCCAAAACCCTTACCTCTGAGCATGCGGCACTACCATTGAAGGTTTAAAGTGGGTCATCACTTGTTGACGTCAGAGAGATGCCCAGGGACATCGTTTGCAGGGCAAGACAGTTGTGTGGTCTCTCGTGTGCGAACGAAAGCATGTGAGAGAGTCTAAATCCTCAACAAAACTTATGCATGGCATTGTGTATACGACAGCTGAATTTTCGGAAGCAACCCTATATAAAGGGACATGTGTACATGAGCCTAGAGAGAGCGTTCCCTTGCACCACATTGATGTGTGCATTTGACTTGCTCTAGGAGGGGGGGGGGGGGAGACTGTAATCCACATAATGAGACAATGGTTCCACTACTTATTGGCTAACTTTAATGAGCCTATCATGAGCCCCTGTACTTGACTATGTCATAGATCTGGTTGGAATTGCTTGAGAAGACAGCAGTGGTTCATGGATCCTGGCATAGGTGGAGTACCCTGATATTCACTTGTTTTGTATATATTAGGTTCTTATCCACATTTAAGTTGCATTTCTATGTGTTATAGAATTTTGTAAAACTCTAGAAATACAGTTTTCAACTAAAAAAGGTACTAAGGTGATTTTTGCATATTTTTTAATATCAAAATATTTTCATTTGCTTAAGAAACCCTAAAAGGGTATTTCTAGAATTTTAAAATCATAAGGGTATTTTGGAAAGTTATTATTTTGTATGTGGGACGCACATAGGGGGCTAAGGATCCAACCCCACATGGGAGGTGTCATGTGGGGCCCACTAGGGCCACATGTCCCTCATAATCAAATGCCCCATTTTTTTGGCACACGACCTTAATCAAGAAAGCAAGTATCTTATTGTTTTTAATTTTTTCTTAAGGAAAATACTTGGCTGAAAATTATTCTTGACTAAATCTTTTATGAGTTTTAAGTGGATCTAGCTTACTGTTGTGAGAGAACAAAATTCTGGATAATTCTAGAACTTGTGTTGACTGGTCAAAGTTCTAGATAGATGAGAAGTGGATTGGGGTCAAATCTCAAGCGATAAGGTTCCTAAATATTCACTCTAAATCATGATTGTTGGGCTTGGAGATGAATGGCTCAGATTAATCATGATTGTTGAGCTTTGGATAATGCTGAACTCCTAATCTGATTGGAAATCCCTAAGCCCTAGAAGCCTATCTAAGGACGGGTTTTTCCCCTTTCAAACAACAAATCAGACTTCTCCCTTCTCCTCTCCACGCCCCTCTCTACTCTCTCTCTCCCTCTCTCTCGCTCTCTCTCTCTAAAGGGGCACACCACCCTCCCTAAGTGTGTAGGGTGACACACTCAGCACAAAAAGAGGGGGCACACCCAGCCCTTCTTGGTTAGATATTGGGGAGATGCCACATGTGGCATATGCCCCTAGATTGAAAAGAGTTTTAGTGAAACCCTAATTGTTTCTTTTTACTCTCTTGCCCGATAAGTTTCAGAAAAGGTGTCCCAATTCAGATTGGTGGATTCAGCAGAATCTAGGATCAAGTGTGTCATTGGTCAGGTGATCGGGTGTGGGGTGTGGAAGAGGGTAACCCTAGGTAAAAAGTTAGTAAGTCTTCCCTCAATTAGTTAATTTAGTCTTATTTTATTTCCTAAAAATTGTTAGTATGTATTTAATTTTGAATAAAATTTACTTTTTGTAATAAGTTATTGAGATCCTAGATTATAGTAGGCATATTTTATTGTATTTGTGGCACTTGTAAGTAGAATTTCAAACATTTAATAAAAGAAAAGAAAGAAATTTTAGTATTTACAACCTGGAATTCTACATAGCCACTTCTTTCAATTTCAAATTAAATCAAATAATATGGGTAAACCGTTCATGTCTTATGGTTATTTTGATAAATTTCCCTTAATTTCTGTTTTGGTAGTTTACTGATTTACCTTGTAACCTACAAATGCACGAGAGAGAGAGAGAGAAAGAGAGAGAGAGAGAGAGTACCCTCCATATCCAAAGGTTATGCATAACAGGGCTAAGAAGGGAAACCCCAATGTATCCACTTAAGAGGAAAAGTGAGAAGCGCATTCCTGAATGTAGTTATCACATTATCATTAGCTACTCCATAATTTTGCTGGAGGATACATGCATGTAAGGCTGTTAGCAAGCGTACAAGTCATAAAACTTCACCTGCTAGTTCATGAAAAAACAATCCCATCATTCCAAGGTAAAGAGCAGAATCACCAACCTGTTGGCAAAATTAAAAGGAATTAAGTTCCAAGGAAAAGAGAAAAAACAAAAAAAAAAAAAAAAAATAGAAGTAACCCTCGCAACCAGAAATTTCTTTATTAAAGATGAGTGAAGAGAAATATGAAAAAGGAATCATCAAGCAGAGGGTTCAAGCCAAAGAACAGCATCTTTGAATAGGCTGGACTTGTAGCATATAGCACCACTAAACAACTAGAGGGAAGAGGGATTGTACAAGTATTGAGAGAGTGCTCCAGTTCACAAGGAAATTAATATAATTTTTTCTTTGTCCTTGAATTTATGAGTAAACGAAAATTTAGAAAATGGCATCTACTATTTCTTTTGGTCAGTATAATACTCTTATTCTACCAAAAAAGAATTAGGAAAAGTAGTACATAATAAGAAGGGAACTGTAACACGTACAGAAGGATAAGACTTCAGTATTGAAGAGATTGCAATGTATACAAATGCAAGGAAGCATGGTCGGTGATTAAGACGAATGACCAGTGGTGATATCATGAACAATATATTTGCATGGAATACCAGTAGGAAGAAATCTCTAAAAAAGTCAAAGACTTCTGCAAAGAAGTACCTGCATTGAGAGCAATTATCAGTGAGCCCCTACACGAACTAAGATCATTAAAATACAAGCCACCAGTTGAGATAAAGGGAATTGACAACTCACCAAAAGACACCTAAATTTGGCGATAGATCCTCCACATTAAGGATAAACCCATATGTTCTGCAGAGCCCAACAACAATGTTATACAAAAGAAGCATACAATAGGAATGGTTCAGTTTCAGCAAAAATACTCAGTTCCTGCGGAACCTCGCATTATTAATAGTAACTTCTAACAAAGTTCAATTTTAATTGTATGTCCTACCAAAATTTCTTTCCAAGTAATTTACTTGTCAAATAGAGGAGCTTCTACATATACATTACATTTCGTGCACCAGAAAACTCCAGTGACACCTAAATTGGTCTAACCATCTGCACTGGTATCCACTTTCTATAAAATGGCTAACAAACAGTACCGGGATATCTGGAAGCAAAGTGAAATGCTATGACAAATGTCATCTCATCAACAATATGCCATACCTTAGATTCATCATGAGTGTTTAGAACATCACATTGAATAAACATAAGGGGTAGGAGAATATCACCATTGTGACCACAGACTGCTTCTTCAAAAATGAATCAGATTTACAGATGGTGTATCATCCTCAGGGAGAAAATTCAATAGCTCACAAGCGAATCAGGACTTCCCAATGGTTGTTGCCTTGAGAGAAGTTTCAATGCAGAATTTCAGAGGATGAGGCATAAACTACAAATGGAACTAATTTGCATACTGAGAGAAATACAAAATCCTACAGCCGTACTCCCAATAAAACCCAGGCACCAAACATAATCAACATATGCTTATTTAGATATCTTGGGTATAGTTTCAGTTATAAGCATTTGTATTAAATTGCAAGTGATTTTAAAAGACACACCAAAATGATGCAGCCCAGGATACTGCACTCGAGTATCTAGATAAAAGAGACAAGCTTAAAGTTTACAAGAGGAATGCAGAAGGGCAAAATAGTCATTGAATCTATCATTTTATGATCTTTTACATTGAATCTATCATTTTATGATCTTTTATTTATTTCTTGAGTCATTTTATTCAGTTATGGGCATAAGTAGTAATTTCTAGAGTATTTTATGTCTTTTTATTCACTTAAAAGTCTTTTGTAATAAATGATCATGATTAGATTAGTTGGATGCCTAGGACTAAGTCTTGTTTAGGATTTTCTTAGATAAGGGATGTACTCAAGAATAAGGAAACAGCTTGTTATGGATTTTATTCAAAACCCTAGAAAAACTATTGCTCCTTCCTTTATCTATGGTTTTTTTAATCTTTCTCTAATTTTGGATCTTCCCTATCTCCTTCTTTGCTAAAACCTAGCTCTAAGCTACAAGTTCTGCATCAGGTTAGTATTAGAGCCCGAAGATCTATACAATACTATAGTATGGCGTTGCATACTGTATCATGGTGTTGCATACCGTAGCACTGTACGGATGGTACTATAGCACTACAAAAACTATATTGCAGAACCAATTTTTGTGCCTTAGATCAACAACCATGCCTCAACGTAGAGGAAAAGCGGCAATTGTAGAAGCCTTTGATGCCTCAACGTAGAAGAAAATGATGGTGTTGATGGACATGATGATGATGTTATTCTTCTTGGAGTTTTACCTGAATTTAGGGTGTCACATGACGTACACACCAAAGAGTTCAAGGTATTTTCCCCTCAAAACTCAGCTGGTGAGTATAACATAGGAGAAGAACTAGTTAGGATTTTCAAATTTTGTAACAACCACCCACCCACCCCCCTTCCTTTCCCTAGGGCAAGCATCCTTGCTCTCTCTCTTAATTTCTCCTATCATATCATTCTTTATTGTAGTCTGAGCACCCAACTTGTGGGATGCCATCCGTAGTTTACACATACTATAACACTTACCATATGTACAAAAGTTAACATAATTCTCAAAAAAAAAGGAGAAGAACCATTGCAAGATTGGCAATCTCCTTTAGGCGCATTCAATGCTCAATCTTACAAGTCATAGAGTGAGGTTTCCTATGCAGTTATGTTGAATTGGTATCTCCGGGGACAGACGATTAGAAGTGATTCAAGAATCTTACCTCCTGTGCTTGTTCATGGTTCTAGACCAAGTTGTTCTAAATATCATAAGTTGAGCCAACGCAAGACTGTGTGAAGTGGTGCAGAAGATTAATGACAATGCCTACAAATTGAAGCTTCTCAACTATATTCGCACTTCCAATGTTTTTAATGTCAAACATCTCACTCCATATCATAGTGATACTTTTGATGACAAGCCGACGAATTTGAAGGTGAATTCCCTTGAGGAAGGGGAAGACAAGCTTAAAGTTTACAAGAAGAACCACAGAAGGGCAAAATAGTCATTAAAAATAACCTTCTATATCTTTTATTTATTTCTTGAGTGATTTTATTCACTTAGGGGCATAAGTAGTAATTTCTAGAGTCTTTTTATGTCTTTTTATTCACTTAAAGTCTTTTATAACAAATGACCGTGATTAGATTAGTTGGATGGCTAGGATTAATTCTTGTTTAGGGTTTTCTTATATAAGAAATGTACTCAAGCATAAAGAAGTATCTTGTTATGGACTTCATCAAAAACAGTAGAGAAGCTAGTGCTCCTTCTTTTATCTTTGATTTTTTAATCTTTTTCAAATTTTGGATCTTCCCTATCTTCTTCTTGCTAAACCCTAGCTCCAAGCTACTAGGTTTGTGCCACAAAGGATATAAATTTCAATCATTAGTGCCACATTTTTTTACCGCTGAGAATAAATAGTGCGAAATTATTTGGAAAGAAAAAGTGAAATTGGCCATACTTGTTGAACATCTCTCTCAAACCACCATGACCTTTAAGGGAAACACTGCACAAGCCCAGAACATATAATGACCAGAACCCTGCCCATAACATGAAGTGTATAATTGGTCTCCATGAGAAAGAAAGGACTAATTGATCTTGCTGAGTGCTCCCTTCACACAATGGATTTTTTATAGGCTTTGACATAGAACTTTCCTGTGCATCTGATTTCTTCTGCTTATCAACTGTCTTGAACAGTTTCTTTGGAGGAGTGTCCAGCCCATACCCTAATAAGATAATAATCTGAAAACAAAAATTAACTAAACATTATGCCTCAATGAAGTGAAACTAACAGGCAAGGAAGGGGCCGGAAAAAGAAAAACAACTCATCCAGGAACTTTAGTAAAGCAAAAAAGAAGGACAAAAAGAAAAGATATCAATGAACCAATAAATATACCCTTATGTCTTCTTTCATATGTAACGAACTGATATTATGATCAATCCAATTTAGAAAAATAAAAGATATTTTTTTGATAGATAAAAAAAAAAAGATGATATGAAAGGGTTGCAACATGAAGCATAGCACACATACGGGTATGACAAGCATCATTGAATAAATAGATAAATGTGTTGCAATGACCCATCCAAAAGCTGCCAAGGGAGGTACACCTGAACCAAAGAGGACAATATTTTACATGAGGAGAATTCTTTTCTCAGAGAAATATAGCAGGAGAAATATCATTATGAGATAAGAAAGCCATTTGACTAAATAATCTAAATAGTGGACGTTGGAAATGACTGCTGATCAATGCAATAATTAATTGTGATTAGGAGAGCATAAATGCACTTCACTGAAAACTAAGAGCATTTTCTCCATTTTTCATACCATATATACACATTTTTGATAGGGAGCACCTGCATTAAACATTCACCTATAATACAGTTTATAACTGGGTATATCTATCCGCCCATCGAGGTCTAAAAAAACCACCACCATCCTACACATATCTTTCTGCATTCAGATGTGATTGCCTTTATTTATAACTAGTCAGAGAGAGATGAATAATCTCAAAGCCCAAGGGGACTTTTCTCAAATATACAGATGGTGCAGGTCTCTATGCAGTTGGTGTACTTATACAAGTAAAATCTTAGAAAATGAACCATGATTCACTAGTATGGATTTCAAAGTAAACTGAGATTTTGACTTTTGATATATTGTTTCTATGATCATTGATCAATTTTTCAAAAGTCATACAATGACCATAAATTTGAAATAAAGATAATCTATATAAAGTATAAACGAGGTAGAACCTTCTAAATGAGGACCAGGCTTAGTGTCAGCAACTGTTATAAAATTATAAGACTGTTAGAAATTCATGGTTCCAGCTCCCCGTACATGTTTTCCAAAATCATACAAGCAAAAGAAAACTAAAAGGAATAAGAAATGGCATGTCTGTATACAGCCTAAATAGGTTTTCTAACACTCCATAGACAGCCCTATGTAAAAGACACCAATAAACACATCACCGGAAAAGAAAGCATCTAGGCAAACCTTGGAACCCAAAAATAGCAAGGTAACTCTTACCTGCACAAGCCCCATAGACAGTCAATAGGATCATCATGTTCTCAATAGGTGATGTCGAGGAACCCGCACAAGCAGCTATTGTCAAAGGATTAAATAAATATATAAGAGCAGCAACATCTCCAGAATCCAGAGTGCCTGGAAACAACGTAAATTGATAATCCATTAAAGAAACATTAAACGATGAACTATGCCATGAAGTATGCAAAGAACAATAGCATTTGAAGCTAAGGTAGAATGAGTATGGTTCAGTGCCCATGGTCATAGATGCTATAACAACTTGTAAAATGCAAAACCCAAAGTAAATGTGAACGCGCAATACCTTAGAAGACCATATTGGTGCTAGACATAGTAACCATCCAGAGAAAACATGTTTTAACTAAAAGCCAATTACGACTCAAAGGAGCATATACATTTATCAAATCTACCATTGAGGTTGTGTTCAAAAGAATGGACTACAGAGATCATGAAGACAAAGAGTCATCTCAGCCAGGAGAATAGATGGATTCAATATTCTTATAAGGGTTTCTCAGAGTCCTCGGAATTCCGAACATTCTAAAGCAAATTGGAAGCAAGATAATGCATCTAGTGGCTAACAAAAAACAATACTATGAGATGTGTAGAAATATAATGCGCCATGAGAATTTTGGGTATAATCTCTTGGCTTACTTCCAAGAGATTTGATTTGAATTTTGTCCCTTTCCTTCCCTTAATATCAATTTCTTTTTTGTGTTATAACCTACTGACATTTCTAACCTCTATCTCTTCCCAAAACTTTGCCAAAAGGTACATGTTCTCTCTTTAGATAGTTGTTTCATATAATACCATTCCAATGAAAGTCTTAGAAATCCGATCCAACCCGAGTCAATTACAAACAGAACGTTAACTATAAAGGAAACCAAGCAGCTAGTTTCAACAGTTCCAGCGGTGGAGATTTCCTCATAGCTAAACTAGGAATATAAAATACATAGGACAAGGCGAAAGAGCGATCAAGGGCTAATCAAATGGAACCAATAACAAAAATTTGAAGGCTAGTATATCTTCCAGTCATAATTTGTTGTGGACATCTGTAAGATTGAATTTTCAAAAGGTGATATGTGCCACTAATTGAAGCACCAAAATTAAGGAACCCAGAAGATGACGAAAAAAAGAGTACTTGTAAAGCAAGCGAGGTAAAAGATTGGATTAATAATAGAGAAGTATGATTTGCCTTCTCAATATTTGGAGAAGAGTAATAAGCTTTAGAAGGAGCCAAAGAAAAAAAGGTGGTCAGACGAATTCATCATTTTCTATCCTGCATCTATCTAAAATAATATGCCCATAGTACTAGTTACCTTAGGTACTCATCCTTCCACCCAACCAACCAGACATTAAGAAACATGAGACAAACCTAAAGCAGTGGCCAAAGAAAGCAACAGACTAATGATACAATGGAAACATACTCCTTCAAGACATAAAGCCATAAGCAAAGATGGACATACCAACAAGATAAAAATCACCAAATATTCCTTCAAGCTTAATAGAGACCTCCAAATTACTTTCAAATCCACTTAAGCGAGTAGACCACCTCTAGCTTTTAAGTAAAATGGTAAAAGAATGTGAAAAAATTCTTTTCTAGTGAATGACACCAATGAAATCAAAACAGGACTGGACCGGTCTATATATTATTTTTTTGAAAATGCTGGACCGGCCTATTCCAACCAGAAACCGGTGAACTGGAGGTCTATCTGGTCGGTCTACTATACTAGACTGGATGGTCTAGTTAAGTGACAATAGATTGGTGGACCATTAGATCAACCAGTCCATCGATCCAGTGCTGATTGGCAAGTCTCGAAGGGCGTTAAAAAGGACCAAAAGTAACCCTTTGTTTTCTCAAAAATAGGTCATTTTGAGAAAAAAAATTGTCCTTCTAAATTTATCTCAAGGAATTTTGGTATTTCTCATCATAAGGGAAGATTCTGCAGTTAATAAAGATGAATTTTGAGATATCTCATTTGCGACTTTTCACCCTCTCTATACACGAAAATCGCCCTCTCTTGGGTGAAATTCTAGCAACTTCCCAGAGGGAATCCATCCCTCAATCTTCCCTTTTCTAAAGCCCCAAGTATGTGCAACCCTTTTTTTATTGTATAATTTATTGTCAAAAAACATAGAAACAGAAATTGCAATTTTGGGGTTTTATAATGCAATGAAGTATTTCTATGATCTATGTTAATGCTATCTAACACATAATGAAAAAAAGTATTTCATTTCATTGGAATTTCTCTTTTTTATGGGATATAGTGAAGGAAGACCATTTCTTCATCCTTTCTTTTGCATTTTTCTCGAATATGGATTTTTGGGTATCGTTAGTATGAGCGGCATTCACCTTTCGTGATCTTAGATTTCTGTGATTTTTTTTTTTTAATATTTCACTTTCTTTTATTGCTTGGAATTAGATTTCAAAACCCAATGACATTTCTAGAAGCATAGAGGGGCATTTTTGTCACTTTCAATGATCAATAAATTTGGGTTCTTTTTTCTTGTTTTTCCGTACACAAGTTGAAGAGTTAATTAGACTTTGAAGTCAGATTAATTGCACCAAAATCAAAAAGAAAAATAACATGAAGATCATAAAATTCTTTGAATGACCAAAATATCTTAGCTAGAAACATGGATAGGGCATTTTCTGCTTTTTCTAAATTTTCCAGATTTTTCCAAAATTTTAGATACTTTTCCATTTTTCTTATTTTCCCATATTTTTGAAATTTTAATTTATCCAACAGTCCAATAGATGAACCAATCCAACCGGACTGCGCTTAATAACATTGAATGAGACAGTCAGCCTAAAAGTACAACCTGGAAGCACTAAATACGATCAAATTCATGAACTCGAAAGCCAAATCGCATGAACTCCAATAGACTAAGGCTTTTGATGACTTCATCTTAATAATTGCTTTGGAGAAGATTCTCCTAAAATAAAGTGAAACCACCACATTCACACTTGTGGTGCAAGTAGAAGAAACTCCTATTCTGTGGTGTATGGACCAGCATAAGGGAAATCTTTCCTAGATACTCTCAAATGGTTGCAGATTTTTAGTAAAAACTCTCACTAAGTATGGCAAGCGCCCCCTTACTTCTGGGCCAAATAGAAATCGCATGAGCTAAATCTCATAAATGGAATATGCATCGCCAGCTATAAGTTCTTCTAAAACATTTCGAAATAAGTTCTTCTAAAACATTCCTTCAACCAATAAACTGAGGCTTTATTTCTCAAAAAAAACAATGAACTGAGGCTTTGATACCACATAAGGTATAAATTCATAGTATTTCTTCATCAGAACTTATAGTAATTAGAGAGAAATGAGAGATAAACCCACAAGAACCCACCAAAAGTGAAGAAAAATTCGTCTCATGTAAGCCATAAATACACAGGACTGCAATTCCATTAGGCAGTTATACAATTATATGAGAACCCTTGGGTGATGGAACGCATAAGTTAAGGATATCACTAGTACAATAGATAAAATATAGAATATGAAAGACTGCCCATGCTGGTTCACTACCATTCTTATCAAATATGACTCCTTTAAAATGTGACCATTGTTAGCTTCGTGATCACCAAAAATGCCCACTTATTTGACCACCAAAAACATATAAAGAAAACACAGGAAAAGCTTTGAAGAATTAGAACGAATGAAAACAATGTCTCATGT